GTTTTTTGTTCAATTTGCTGTAAAATTCATACCAATGTTATAAGTGTAGCTATCAGTTGGGCCACCAATTTTGATTTTATTACTTTAAGTTTCATTCACAATCCTTTTTTTTTTTCTACACCTAAGGTGTTTTTTGATTAGATTGTGTTATTTCTCAACAACACCACTGGTTTTCTCCCGATTTGTGTGAACTGTAACACAACTTACAGATATAAATGCTCAAGTTTTTGTATTTTCTAACAACTCAAAATATGTGTGTTTTAAAATTCAAAATTGTGTTTACTTCAATACATATTATGTATGGGTTGATGATGAGTTACAGTTTGAACAGTCCTATATGTTCATGATGAGTTACAGTTTCAATAGTCCTGTGAGTTCATGATGAGTTACAGTTTCAATAGTCCTATGAGTTGATGGTGAGTTACAGTTTCAATAGTTCTATGAGCTGATGATGAGTTACAGTTTCAATAGTCCTATGAGTTCATGATGAGTAACAGTTTCAATAGTCCTATGAGTTGATGGTGAGATACAGTTTCAACTGTCCTATGAGTTCATGATGAGTTATAGTTTCAATAGTCCTATGAGTTGATGATGAGTTACAGTTTCAACTGTCCTATGAGTTCATGATGAGTTATAGTTTCAATAGTCCTATGAATTCATAATGAGTTACAGTTTCAATAGTATTATGAGTTGATGATGAATTACAGTTTAAAAAGTCTTATGAAAATGTTGTTTTTATACATTGCTTGATTTTTAATTCATGTAACGAAATGCATTAATATACATTTGTTGGTCTACTATATATATATGTAGATAGTGTAAAGTTCAACAAAACAGGTTATACATCAGTCAACACTTTTGGTTTCCGCTTTGTTAACCCATGATGATTGTGTGGTTTTTAACTGTTGTGTTGCAACCATTCAAACGCCAGATTTAGATACAAGTTGTTGGCCTACTATACATGATGTGTACCGTGTTAGTTACTGATTTAACAACAACTATGTAACACACCAGTTGTTGGTCTACTATACAGATGTGTACCGTGTCAGTTGTTGGTTTAACATTAACTATGTAACACACCAGTTGTTGGTCTACTATACAGATGTGTACCGTGTTAGTTGTTGGTTTAACAATAACTATGTAACACATAGACCAACAACTGGTGTTCAGCTGTGTAACCCAACTGTTGTTATCGGGAATGGAGGATTTTCAATAAATAGATAATAACTCATAGCGTATCACTTAATATAGCGTGGAACCTTAACTGGTAATTACACAAGTTAACTATAGGGGGCACTCAGTAGAGCATGTATCTCCGCCACACAACGTTGATTATATATGGCTCTCAAAAATATGAAAATGTGTCCGTATGTCCGTCGTTATCAACGGACACGCACCATTTTTGGCAGGACAATGAGGAATAATATTCTACATAAGTCCACCAAGTTTCATCAAAATCCGATCATCTTTGACTGAGTTATGGAGCAAAAATAGTGTGAAAAATTGGTTTCGATGTTAACAGATAGGGATTTTTTTGGATTTTCGTGACGTTGACCCTCCAAAAACAGTTACTTCTTATTTGTGTCATAGTTCAAATGTATACCAACTTTTGTCCAAATCTACTCAGCCGTTTTCGATAAATCTTGCTGACAAACACACGCACACAGGGGTGAAAACATAGACTCCGCCCACCTTCGTTGGCGGAGGTGATTAACTGAACTGCAGTAGTACAAATTTTCACCTCGTCTCGGTTTTGACACTAACCCTCTAAAGGTTGAATACAAAAAAAGTATTAAAATATTCTTCAGGGTGAAATGTTATAGCGATAGGTGGAGCTACTTGTTGTACGACGTGGTTTCTTTCTGGTCAATTGCTTGGACATACTTCTTATCAGTAATGTGCAGAGGACAAAGGGCAGAGCTCGTGAACAGAAAAGGACACTTTTTAAATTACTGTAAGGCGATCCTTTTTTTTATTTTTTTGTCTGGGAGAGAAACTTGGGGGTTGTGGGTTGCCTCTGGTACTCTAAGTTACAAATCCTTAAGAAGTGAACATATCCGCTTATATTAGTATTCGGTTGGTCTTGTAAACACTTTTATGATTTAAAAGTAAACGGTAAATTTTTTCGTATTTAAAGCACGTTAGGATTTCTTGTATTTTACTTTTAAAGTCTTACAAGACACTGTGTGTCACTTATTTTAAAGCTAAAATAATTTTCCCCTTAAGATGTGAAATCAGGTGTATCTCTTAGCGGTTGTTAACTTTATATCAAAGAGAAAAACGGGCACTTTTGAGGCCTAACCAAGTGCGGAAAGCAGGAGCGTGTGTCCACCCAGCCACCCATTGTGTACGTCACTACATCTTACTTTACCTGCTGTTTCAACATAAGATATTTACTGTGCCTCACATACATCTTGTGTGTATACGTAATTAACATACGTAACAAACATACTAGGATATTAGTTTTTGATATTTTATGAGAGGTATAAATATCTGTAATAATGATTATATATATATATATATATATATATATATGGAGTGGTAATGCATATTTTCATATTTTTTTAAACAGACGTACAGATAGTATCCATATGGGGGACATGCTTCCAACGAACGTTATGACATTCTAAAACTATAAACACAAGTTTTAGAGTTACACAATATTTTTGACATGTTTTTATTTTATTAGAGGAATTATATTATAAATACAGCCAACAAAATGCAAAGAAAGAACAAAAATATATAAAAAAAACTCGAGATCACGTGTTAAGCCTAATGGGTTTATTGTAGGCCTAATTTTTTACTTGTTATTGCAGATTTTGGGTCAGGAAAAGTCCATCTTTTTGTAACAGAGAGATATGCTGGGAAGAAATGATGTTTCCTCTGACAGAAGCGTATAGCGGAGATCCTGAAACATACGCCTGGGGCTGGACTTTAGCTGTGCTCCTTTTCATTATTCCTCTCGTATGGTTTACTTGTAAGAACGGGTTGTGACGTCATCACTTTGAAATGTTATGTGACGTAACAGTAAATGAGTCACGTGTATTTACCATCATCGTGAATATGTTATCAAACCTTTAATTTTTTTTCATTTATGATTCATTAAAGGTCAAATCCATTTTATTTCTTGTTAAAGAGACTAGTTTTGTATATTTTTAACGACAAATATGTGTTACTAATGATGCAAATATTTCAACATTCAGAGACACCACAAATTATGTAAACTTTTACTGAAGAAATATGGATGTTTTTACATACAGAAAACAAACAATTACTTCATCTTTCGATGTCGTTAAAACGAGGAAAATATTTTGTCTTCATGTGAAATGATGATGACGTATTTATAGGATAAAACAACCTGGTATTGAGAATAAAGGACGACTAAGTAGTGCAAACAAAAACATGGAACATGTTAAAACTGTACGCGGTTGATGCACTAGAAAACCCATGCCACATTAAACAGAGTTTGAAATACCTGTTGACTCGGTTGGAAAACTGTTGGAAACACCCGCTAGGAGGTAAAAAGACTTGGAAACAATCGTTGATTCTCAAGAGGAAGTGTTATAAACGGCAACTGGTGCTCTAGAAGTAGTGTTAAGAACAGCAACTGATACACTAGAAGTAGGGTTAAGAACAGTAACTGATACACTGGAAGTAGGGTTAAGAACAGTAACTGATACACTGGAAGTAGGGTTAAGAACAGTAACTGATACACTGGAAGTAGTGTTAAGAACAGTAACTGATACACTGGAAGTAGTGTTAAGAACAATAATTGGTTCTCTAGAAGCTATGTTAAGAATAGAACAAGTAACATGTTTAAGAATAATTGCAGAAATTAACTTAAACACTCGAAAATCCTAAACCCACTTTACAGTTGTATAATAAATCATGTTTGTTCGTTGCTATAGAACAATTATTTATACCAGGTTTATAAGGTGTCTGAGAGTAAGTTATATATTCATCATTTTAGACTTTTGAAACACTGTTTCTTTAAGAAGATATTCAGTTCGTATTTCATGTCTCGTGCCCGCAGAGGTTGAGTACGTTATATGAAAATGATTTTGGAGCTTTACCACGTTGTTACTGTCCATGTCGCCAAGTCAGTTCATGATCTATCTGACGTCTATGCATCGCGGCAATAGCCTTTTAATGTAGTTTCCATTGCAAAAGACTGTCATGCTCAAAGAACACCCCCTTCTTCACGAATCTCTCTATTATCCATCTTAAGCACAAGGATGATGATTTTTTTCCAGCATCTGTTTCAGCAGTTCGATCACACGTAAATTCATAAGCACTACCTTCGGTGACTTGACTGGTACGTTTTCATATGAAATAGCATGAATACCCATTTAATTTTCCACTTTCTTGAAGTGTGTGTGATGATGGAACTGATATGTGTTGCCTGGAACACATGGACGGCTTTACAGTTGATCGTTGTACTCGTTGATTCTTGCATGTTATAAAATGCTGTACTTTGCTTGTTGCAGGTCTCTTCTTGGTGAGCTTGGTGCCTCATGTTGATCCATATTCTAATTTTCCGATCTAAAAGCACCATTATGATCTGAGTGTATGAATATTTTGCGTCAGAAAGGGTTGTTACATATCTTTCTCAAGAACGATAAATTGTCGGTGGCATTACATTACCTACGAAACGACAAATAATGTCAAAATGTAGTTCTGATACATTCTGTTCCACTGCACGTGACTTGCTGATATACGTATTCGAAATCGTTTTAAAATATAACGTACTCAACCCACTGTATATTATTGTCCCATTTTATCTTTGCCAAAGAAAATAATCAACAAGTTAGATCTATTCAGTTTCAATTTTTATCATGCGTGTTGTTTTTCTTCAACAAATATAAACTTCATGTGTATAAATGAATAAACATTTGAGGAAATGAAACATAGACTGTAGTTGATTGAAGCATTTGTTTATTGTTTGTTTTTTGCACGTGCAGGAGGTGGATTTCATTTCACATGAAAGGCAGTACAATATACAGACTGTGGTCAAATTAGCGGTAATTTATAAAAAATACCCCCCCTTTTTGGAAATGAAAGGATCTTTATTTATTCAGAAGACATAGTTCAAGTTGCTTAATGTACCGGTATGTATGTTTGAAGAGGGAAACGGTGAGTGTGAATTAAATTAGGGCGCGGCCCTGTAAGGAACACTAGTAATAAAACAATGCTTACTTGTAAGTTCCCTCAGTAATTGCTGCTAAAACCTGCTTTAATTTATACACTAGATTAAATGACGTCATGCTGAAGAAGAGGAGGTTTATGTGTTGTATGGCGAATGGTCTAGGGGCAATAGAAACAAGTAGTTGTGTAGTGGTGGGGCAACATTCATCGGAATCCAGACTCCATAATAATATTTATTCGGCAATGAAATGCAAGAAATATGACGGGTTAATGTTGTGTTCTTGACAGCATATTTGAAATAAGTAAACATTATTTTAGCAGTAGAGACTCGCAAAACATTTACGGTCAGGTTAGTATATTTATTGCAACAGTACTTCTTTAAATACAGGATTTCTAGAATAATACAAAAGGTTTATAATCGCAGACACCGAAATATGCAAGTATAATTGTCTTAGGCCTAACATTAGTTAAGTCTTTATTAAGTATAGCCTATATTCAGTAAAAAGTCAAATTAACTGTAACTTGTGTACGTTTTTTGCTTTAGTTTCGTTAGGGCCAAACTTTACCGTACTTAACACTATCAATAAATAAACTTATAATGTTATTCTACAACAAAACGTTATACCTTTTTAAAACTTTGATAAGTTTACATCCGCTGAAATCAAGTGCGCGCGCATTTTTAGGTCAGACAAAAACTGTGTATTATTATAACAGACCAGCTGCAACACACAAAACATTTGCTGCAGCTTTCATGCCCTTCACTTGAATTTTCCTTTATTCTATCATTTTCACGCACGGCATTTAAGCTACACTTTTTTGTAGGCATTATGTTTTAGATCGATAAATCTTGGTCTATTGGAAGAAAAAAAATTACGCGGTCAGACAAACAAATTCACGTAGACGTAACTTTATTTAATAAGATTACACGCAAGGTAACCAATAAAGTATAGTACTGGTTTATTTATAATAGTGTACAGAGTACAAAACAGTTATGACTATCCAGTGTATGACACGGTTTTGGTTTTATTTTACAATTTGAAACAAACTCACAAAAACGAAGAATAAAACCCGTAGTAAAGAGAAAAAGTAGCTAAAAGGTGTTTATAGCAGTCTAGAAAACGAACCGAAGCTACATCATTGTAAAGTAAAGTAAATGTAAAGTTGTAATGATGGTAAACTTAGCTGAATATGCAGAAACGTCTGAATGTGTGTTCACAAAGTTATAAACATATGGTTTTGAACGAACTGCGCATTTGTATTTTTAGACCTAAGTAAGTCGAGAAAGCCCATACCAATTGTATTTGGTGTAATATTTTTTTAGGAAATACACGCGGGTTAAGTGTTTGTGTGAAATACTTTGCAAGTACAAAAAGTAGTTGAAATCGAAGCCAGTCGTCACGTAATGACAACGACATTGGTACTATCTTGTAACATACTCGTTATATTACACAGTTTTACTGAGCAAAAAAACAGGTAAGGTGGTTCTGAATGGACAAGCCAATATGCAATCCGGACTCCTAGGACAAAGGAAATTGAAACTGTTACCTTTTTCATGGGGCATGACAGGAAAGTCGTATATAGTTTGTGGATAACACCGTTAATCTGATGTTGAATAAAGTGTTAGGCGTAGCCGTTGTTCATAAGAAAGTTGAAACGTTAAACTTAGATAAATCATATGTTTTGTCTTTAAATCATGAAAATGAACCATGTTAAAGTAAGTACTTATTTATTTTATTTTGGAAACCATATAGAGGGCGCTTGTAGGAGCAGGGGGTTCTTAAAGGGACGAATATGGTAATTACAACTACGCCAAAGTGTGATCTGGTTAGCAAGTTTTAAACTTATAAAAACAAATGGTTTTAATAGTGGTAATATTTATTTTCTATCAGAACAAGCTTAACTATTTAGATAAAAACAAAACGAACTGGAAGTAAAGCCGGTGATAATTATTGGTTATTAAATATACAGTTCTTGCTTTCATACTTATAAATAATAAAATGTGTTGTTTCATCAGTTGGTTGCCCTCGATGTTATCAGTATTTTCGGCCGTAATCCCAATAATATCTAACGAGGTTTAGGTTAGTCTTAAATACATACGCTAATTTAACAACGAAAAATAACTACTTTAATACAAAATATAATTAAATATCATAACGGATACTGTTAATGGGAGTACATGTTATTTGTGGATTATTACCCTTCTTCGCCAAAACGTATAATTTCAGTAATCTATTATTAGTTTATTGTTGAGTGAAGTTTTACTAGGACTCTATAAAGAGCATACTTTAGTTACGGAACATGTTTCTGAGGCCAGGTGGTTAGGGCGCTCAACTCGTAATCTGCGGGTTCGAATCCCCGTCACACCAAACATGCTCGCCCTTTCAGCCGTGGGGGGCGTTATAATGTTACGGTCGATCCCACTATTCGTTGGTAAAAGAGTAGCCCAGGAGTTGGCGGAGGATGTTGATGAGTAGCTGCCTTCCCTCTAGTCTTACACTCCTAAATTAGGGACGGCTAGTGCAGATGGCCCTCGTGTAGCTTTGCGCGATATTCAAAAAATAAAACAAATATTTCTGATAACGTAAGGAAAATATTGACCTATGTCTCCAGAATGTAACTTTATTTAAATTGTTGAAACAAGACTGATATAATTTTAATATGGGCTGAACTTTATAAACACGTGTATCGATGTTCGATTTACTGTTAACGGTTTGTTTGTTGAGGGAAGGCAGCTAGTCATCACCACCCACCGCCAACTCGTGGGCTACTCTTTTACCAACGAATAGTGGGATTGACCGTCACATTATAACGCCCCCACGGCTGAAAGGGTTAGCATGTTTGGTGTGACGGGGATTCGAACCCACGACCCTCGGATTGTGAGTCGAGCGCCCTAA